AGTTGTTAGGACATCATGGGTCTTCTCCCGACTTCCATCTTTGTCATTTAGAGGCTTCATAGATAGACAGTAGAGTCTCAGAATTTGGTTCAGTTATTTGGTTAAATGTTTTAAAGACTTCAGTTGCCCATTTTATGAAGAGTTGAATAATTTATTTTATTTTGAGTTTTTCATTTGGGTTAAAGATTTGCAAAGTTGAGTTTATTGAATTTTATTAAGTTCTTAAGCTTTGTATGCTTGAGTTATTCTTCCGCTTGTAGTTAGCCAGGATGAGGGTTCATTTAGGGACTAGCAATGGTTCTCGAGTGTCGGCCACGTCTAGGGTGTAGGCTCGGGTCGTGACATTAAGAGTCATGTGAGTCATAGTTAGCTAGACCAAGGGTTCACTTAGGCATAAAAAATTGTTCTCGAGTATCGGTCACGTCTAGAATGTAGGCTCGGATTGTGACAAAAGTTACTCCCGCTAAAAACTCAGGTATCGCTGAAGTGACAGGCCCTTCACTTAAGTGATAGGACCTTTACAAAAGGGAGGCCTGTAACACCATAAAACATAGCCAAGTTTCAACACCTAAAGGACCCTCAGGATTCATTCGAAATCCCATAAACACAATCCGCATTTGCACCTCGACGTTTTGGACTCTATGGAACCATCAAAACACAAATCTGAGGTTTCCTTGAACCGACATCCATGAAAACCAAAAGAAACTAACACAACAAGTAAAAAGGCTTTAACAAGCTTGGGACCTCTAAAAAATCAACAAAGACCTCACCGATGCCTAAAACCATCCCCCAAATCCAATTTAACTCTTGGAATTCCGATCCAAGCATTCAAACCCCGAATGTTGACCAAAGTCAACCCAAAGGCTAAATTACCACAATTTCACAACTTAGGACTTCAAATCCACATAAAGACTCTGAATCTAAAATCGACAACTCTCACAGACAAGATTCAAAATTCCAAAACTAGTACAATCGACGAAATTTCATTCTGACACTCAAAACTCCAAAAGACTCTGAAAGCTACTTTTCAGCAACTTAGCCTTTTAAAATCAGAAACTTGCTCAAGTTCTCAACTTCTCAATTCTAATACAATCTTTCAAAAATTAACATAAAAAGCCCTGTGGTCGATATCGGAAGGGCAAAAATGGTAATTTTATGAACCTTTCCAAAAAAGATTTACTGAGTCCTTACAAGTAGATTGAGTTAAGGGAGGTGAGTAATGGTTTAGCTGGATGATAGAATTAGTTGGCGGATTTGAATTTAGGAATTTTGCAGGAAGGACTCTGTGTAGACAACGTGGGTGGTTTTGAGAAGTCATTATATGATAGAATGGTTAGGCGATGATTGTTTAGGAAGGTGAAATTGTTTTTAGTGTAGGAGTTGGCAGTGGACAAAGGTGGAGTGACTTGAGCTAGAGTGTATGGGTTCAGTGGTAGTAACACTAGGTGGTAATGGTGGTAATTGAAGGATCGTGGTCCTAAATTGTATCTTCAAGTGCAAGTATCTTGATTATTGTGTGATGTTATGTGGTTGATTCAGATCGATCGATGATGCGTACCAGTATGTTTTGTTTGTACTGATACTACTCTTGCTATACCACTTGACATAGTATGGTTGTAGGATTAGTGATCTTTCTTGGGTGAAGGCAAAGATGATCATTTGACAACTTTTACTCATGATGAGAGATGTGTCTTATTTTATAAATTGTATCCTCTTAGAAAATTCTTATACTAGTTTTTATTAGTTCCTTAGGAGGAATCAATGTATTTCTCAAAAGTACTTATTGTAAATAAATTTAGAGCTTATTTTGTATTTAAGGGCGATTAATTTATATTTTATTAACTATTGCATTTCATATTTCAATTTGCATTTCAAGTTCAATTTAGTACATCGACTATGATAAATTCTTTGTTTCACCCGTCAAACTCATCTAGAAAATCAAAAGTGCAAATAAATCATAAAATATGTTGCAGATTTGTCAAAACGTCAAATAACTTATTCAAAGTATTCTATCAAATATTTACTATAAACTCTAAATTTTATCTTTTACTTTTTAGTCCTTTATCATTACAAATAGTGTATTCATACTTAGAAAGTTGTATTTTACCTCTAATCTCTCTTCTAGTAATTGATAATTTCCACATTTATATACTTATATGACAAATAAGTTATGACTTGTTTCCGCAATTTCAGTTATTTCCATATGATTAATAGATTCTAGTATATCGGAAAAAAATTGACTTACCTAACAGAGGATTAGTGAATGTTCTTCACGATCCTTCAGATTTGGATCATAAAAATTATGTCTAAATAGTTTTATGTACTAAGCACCGAAAAACAGGGATCCATCTATTTGTTATGTTGATTATAAAATATTTGGTAAATATATGTAATTGAAGAATATGTGATAATGAGATGTCAAATGGCCAATTTAAGTAAGATGGTCAATGTAATAAATATATTCAAAGTTAAGTTGAATGGCTGTAAAAATTAAGCCTCTAAATATTAGAAATCAATTCTCACATGATGATGTTGATCACAAACAAGGGAGGAGGTTAGTAAAGGAATTAGAGAAAATAACTAGATACATATTCAAGAACTCCAACTTGTTACATGAAGGTTTTACTCACTCCTCCTTCCAAGAAAATGGTAAATCATATGAGAGATTGAAATTTTTAGGTAATTATAAGCAGATCTAGATCAATTTAACCGTCTAATGACTCTATGGTCCAACTTATAACGTTGCTTTTTCTCTTGACTTGTTTTGGACCATAAACTCCAAAGTTTATCTTCTTCTTCATTTTTCTCTTAATCTTTTTGCTTACTCAAACACAACTTATGTGGGTGACTCTATTGTGAATATGTTAATAAAAAAGCAACAATTTTTTGATTACCCTGATCTGCCTCCCGGGAAGCTTAGAAAGTTGAGAGCAGCTAATGTACATAATGAGAAACTTGCTAGAGTCGCCATCAAATACAATTTACATAAATATTTACTTCACAAGAAGCCTTTACTTAAAAGTCAAGTAAGTATATATAAGTGGGAAGCATGTTAGGCAAAAGTCAGATTACCCTTTTACCCTTACGTTAAACTAAAATGTTATAAACTATTTAATAAATTAAATACTAAATAGTAAATCATCATATTACTACACGAATAATTTATTAATAGCTTTTACTAATAAACTTCTAAAATCAAATCAATAATAAGAATTAAACTAGACCAAATACATGATTAGATGTTATAACTAATTATTTTTCACTTTTCATCCCACTTTATAATGAGTTTAAATTAGTAACTCTTTTAGAGTTAAAGCCTATATAAAGCTTAATACAGTAAAACTTCTATAAATTAATATAGGTGGGATCATGAAAATATATTATTTTATAGAGATATTATTTAATCGATAAATTAATATTGGCGAAATGGTCCAATGAATCCTTGTACTTGTATGAGTTTGTATTTTAGACCCTTCTACTTAATCATTTGCCTACTACACTCTTAAACTCAATTAAAATGAAACTTTTGAACCCCTCCAACCATGTGTGTAGTTCACTCTCCCTAACATAAATGACATGTCATATCCACATCATATATGTTAATGCCATGTCATAATTATTTTTAAATTATTAACTAGAAAAACACTTAAATAAAAGATAAAAATAATAAGTTTTATGTTTTAAAAATAAAACAAAGTAGTTATTTCTCTCACGTTTCCTCCACCTCCCTCAACCCACAACCACCAAAATTTTCCTCCACCTCCCTCTACCAACAACCACCAGACGCAGAGACAAAAAATGAAAACCCAAAATTGATCTCTCAAATTATCTAGTCAGACATATCTATTATCCCATAGAATCGCTTTCCTTCTTCCTTTAACTTCTATTTCAATTGATAATTTGGGCAATCTACTATAGAGTAAATACAGCATACAAAAAACATAATTTTTTTCATTGATAGTTTCCACCTAAAATGCTTAAGCTACACAAATTCAACAGATTCCACTTCTACAACCTAGTTGAATATCCTTAAATTGTTATGGTGCTATATAGACTAACAAAACAATCTCCCTTCTCCTATTTTTTTTTCCTCTTTGAAAAATGAGTATGAAGCTCAGAAAGCACAAGTCAAACCCAAATCTTAAAACTAATATGAGCAGACAACATTTTCTTAATGTTGGATTTTATGGTAGATTTTTAAGGATCGAACAATAAGACCACGCACAATCAAACCCAAATCTCAATACAGAAAAAAGAAATCTATGGATAGAATGGGCGAAGCAAGCCATCGGAGCATAATCATCACATAACCACCATAGAAGACCCATAACTACCGGAGCAAAATCAGCCTTCTTGTTCAACATCTGAAACTCCCATTGACACTGTTATAACTCACCAAAACACCTAATCATTAACGGAGGTTGAATGGATAGAATGAGTGAAGATACAGATGAAAATGCCATCGCAAGGGCCGCCGAGATCTGTGTCATTTTCTCAGACTGTCGCGAGCAAAGGGAGAAGAAAAGGGAGGGGTTGGGAACCTTAATTTGTTTTTTTGTTTTTATTATTTAATTATTTAAAGCAAATTAATTGCTTTCACTCGCCTTTTTAAGTGTGATACCACACACTATAATTGAGTCAGCAAAATAAATGCCACATAAGCTTGATCAACGGTCAAAGGGTTTAAAAATCTTATTTTAATTGAGTTTAAGGATTCAGTTGGCAAAAGATTAAGTAGAAGGGTCTACAATACAAACTCATACACGTATAAGGGCCTATCAGACCATTTCGCCATTAATATTTATTAATTTAAAGAATGGTTTGAGATTTAATTGAGGTTGATTTGTTTATATCAAAATCATTGTATCTTTCTAATTTATGTATCATATTTATTGATTTTACATATAAATTTTTTTATACATAATGTACAATGAATACATCAAAATCATTATATCTTACTAATTTCAACCTTGTGATGCTGGATAATAAGAGCTTTCAAGATGTATTATCGTAGAAAATTTTATCGTAGGATATTAGAAGGCTATGAAGTGGGACAAATTGATCCAACAGAGATTAATGTTCAGCAAGAGACAATAGCAAATTATTTTCAACACTGTAAAATTTGTTCGGGGGATGCAGTCTCAAAGAATTTGAATGAACCCACTTGTGAAAACGTGATTCATAAACTTGAGGTCATGATTAATGATCTCGACTACCACAATAAAATGGATGTCAATAACCTGTTGGATTATTCAGGTGAAAGTGATACATGTTCAGAGGTCCAGAACTTAGAAGAATTTGTGGATACCATCGGAAAAAGAAATGTTGATGATGAAGTTGAAGATGATACTATATCTTTTGACCCGTTACGCGTAAGGAAACACTCATTGCATCTAGAACTCTTCACAATTTTATGGTTCAGTTCGAAAAGACAAGACCAGAGCTCTTGGATGCAATAATAAAAGTTAGAGATGAACATCAACTAGATTTAAATTTTAAGAAAAAATTGAAGACAGTAGAATCATATTTCACTAAATTTTCTTAGATATATTTGTACTTTTAAAGAATTATTAATTTATGATATTAATGGACAATATATTTATATAGGGGTCTTCTGGAAATATATTATCTTATTATATTATCGAAATTGGTGATTTTTTTCATTGGCCCAAGTCGGGACTGGAGGAAAATATTATTTTTGAGAGATTATTAATTTATCCAGTATTAATTTATATAGTTTTTACTGTATAGAGAAGGTAACCAATCTCTCATCAATATCCACATTTTTTTTCAGACTTTTTTTGGAATTTTCTCATATGTTTTTCCTATCTGATTTAATATTAAATGCCTAACAAAAGATTAACAAATAGACTACTGTTAAGTATAAGTCAAAAAGACTCACAAATTTTTTCAGTTTTAAGAAGAAAGTCCAAAAGTCTCTTGTCTCAAAATTAATAAGAAGAAGGAACATGTTGGCTCAACCAATGCGTTTGTCACTTTTTGGGGCCTTTTGGAGTGGTTAATTATTATGTTGCACAGTATTAAAAAACCTACTCTGTTTTATTTCATTGTTTTGGGTGTGCAAAGTTGTGAATAATCCCTTTCACTTCTGTTTAAGTCAAATAATATATAACAAGTAATAAATTCACTTTCAATAGACTTTTGCCCATTAATCAATTATAATTATTTGAGGATGCAATTTTGGTACATGTGTAGAAGACTTGAAGGTTATGTATTTTGAATTTTTTTTTGTTCTTTATGTTTTTATAATTTCCTTGGCCATGAAATAAATGGCTTTTCCTTTCAGTTTCCAATACATTCTTAAAATTAGTTTATTACTCCCTCTGTCCCTAATTACTTGTACACTTTTCCTTTTATAGTTGTGATATACCGTGAGTTTACGGTATTTTTAATACATTTCACTTAAGAGTTGTGTGTGTCTAGGGCCTTTTTGTATTGGTTTTTATGTGTTTTTATCATGTTTTGCAGTAAAGATATTTAGGCGCGGACGTAAAGAGACAACTGAAAGAAATGCAGAATAAGGCATCTACAGAGGTGGTCTACGGACCATAGGTCCATTGACGCTCCGTAGATGGTGACCGTAGATTAGCAGGCAAGGCATGGAGGGCAAATCAGGGAAATCTGACCAAGTGTGGAACCACGGTGGCCATTGACGGTCCGTAGATTGATCTACGGACCATACTGCTGATCCGTAGAAAGATACTGCGAGGGTCCTAGTACCTGATGTTTGAAGATTCTAATTGTGGAGCTACCGAGAGGGATTGACGAACCGTAGATCGATCTACGGTCCGTACTGCAGTTCCGTCATTTGCTTCAAAGAAGCTGATTTTTGGAAGCTGAAATTTTTTCTAAGTCCTGGCTGACGGAAGGGACTCACGGACCGTAGATCCATTTATGGTCCGTGAGTCAGTCTCGTGGAATGAAGACGCGTGCCTGAACAAAGTTTTCTTATTTTGTTTCTCTTTTAATTTAGGACTTGTGTTTTTTATAAATAGGGCATGTAAACCTCATTTTGGGGGTTAGACATTATTAATTTAGTTCTTTTTTGTGACTTCAGAGATTATTCTTGCAAACCTAGCAATTATTGATTTCTTAAGATCGTTTTGAAGAATTTGGTGTTGCAATTCAAGTTGAATTTCTGGGTTTATTATTCTTCTTATGTAAGTTCATAATTCTTACATCTAAAACAATGAATTGTGTTCATATGATTACGAGTAAATAAACTCTACAACTAGGGTTGTGGGAACCATGAGCGATTAACAAAGTATGAATAGTAACAAAGCAATTCTTGAATAGTGTTGTTGCATGCATTGATAATTCTTTTGTTTAGAAGTCTTTTCAACGAGTGCACGCGTTAGAACTCACCTTGTTGCTACTTGCCGGACAAAGGAGGTAATCAACAAGAAAAGAATTATCAACATAGATTTAGTGTGATACTATCTAATAAGCTAGTGTCGATTAGTGTGAAGTAATAACTAAGACAAACATCGATGTGATATCTAATATGAGTTAAATGTAAGGATTAGTAAGTTATACATACGTAGCTGGACCAAGGTGTGGGGTGAAATTCTCTAGATGTTGGACCAAAGATTTAGAGATACCTAACTTATCACTTTGCATGTAGTACACTAGGAAATGATTGCTATTACTAGGATTACTGCGTTATGAGATTGTGGGAACACATATACCCTAGTTAATTTTCTCATCTTGATAACAACCGAAATTGACTTTTGTTTACTGATTACTTACTGAATTCTTACAATTTCTTCCTCAAACTCCCCCTCCCTTTAATTACTTGTTTCTGGAAGTAATTTGAGTAAACTAATATAATTGTTGGTTAAAATTAAGTCTAAACCATTTTCATCGTGGGATCGACCCCAACCTACAAGTTGGGTTCTTTACTTGATAACGATCCCTTATGCTTCTTTAGGGAGGTGTAATTTGAGCGTATCAAATTTTGTTGCCGTTGTCGGGGAGTTTTTGCTTTTAGATTAATTTGAACTACATTATTGAACTTTGGTCAAATATTTCCTAATTTTACTTTTTCTTTTTCTTTTTGTCTCTCTCAGGTTCTGACTCCAGTGTATGCCAAGTACACGGAGCCAAGGTAACCAGTTACTCCTTACGATCCAGAGTTGAACTGAACTTTGCGAAGAATGAACAATCAAAGAGTTCAAGCTAATCCAATCGGAGGCAACCTAAGTGATGAAGTTGAGTTGCAACCTCCGAGGGTAGTTGGTGGAGAAAACCAGATTCTAGCTGAGATTCAATTGGGAGATGCAATGAGGGTGCATGGCCCACCAGGCCCATGACTGCATGACAACTATAGGGGCAACATAAATATTGCTGACTCAGATGGACCTCTTGTCCTATCCCCTTTGCTGCCGGGGTACACATTTGTAGTGACCAGTAGCTTGATGCAGATGCTTACATCGAGGGGCTTGTTCTCAGGATCGCCATCGGAGGACCCACATGCTCACTTAGCCAAGCTATGGGTGGTGTACAAAAGCTGTGTAGGTCGACCATACTTGGATATGGAAATTATCGGATTGCGAGTGTTCCCTCTATCACCGACAGACGATGCTGCTATATTGTTCACTGAGCTCCCTTATAACTCAATCTATACATGGGACCAACTGAAGGATGTGTTCTTAGCAAGATATTATCCAGTGTCCAAGAAGCTCAATCACAAAGATAAGGTCAACAATTTTGTGGCATTACTTGGAGAGTCTGTAAGTAGCTCTTGGGACAGATTCACTGCGTTTGTAAGAGGTGTTCCGAATCAACGTATTGATGATGAGTCATTGAAGGAATATTTATATCGAGGTAAAGATGACAACAATAAAGCAGTGCTTGATACTATAGTTGGAGGATCATATGGTGAGTGCACAAACACTCAGATTGCATAAAAACTGGAGAAGATCTCTCGCAACAAAAAAGCATGGAGCACTAGGAGGTCGGATACCGGATGAAACACATTTGCCATTCATACTACAAACAACCAGTCTGTAGATGAGATTCGTGAGAAGATGGCTCAGATGAGAATCGAGTAAGGGTTGGTATTGAAGCATGTGAGCGAAAGTGCGGAAAAGGTAAATGTTGTGAATTACTTGACTAGAACTCCACCACCAGTTCAAGAGTGTTATTATGAAGCGGATACTTATGCGGTGAATGATTCGACGGGGGTTCCCTACCAAATGCCCAAGGTTCCAACACAGATAATTGGCGCCAAGGTCAAGGAAACCAAGGTCGGAACTATGACAATTACAACTGAGAGGGTCAATATGTCTAGGATGGGAACTTCAATCACGATAGCAACTACAACCGGAACAACTATGGCAACAAAAATGATCGGGTTGGACCTTATGTCCCCTATCAAAAAAATTGGGAATATGGTACTAGGGAAACTGGAAGGCAATATGGCGCGTATTGAAGATATGATGCAGAAGAGATGAGAAGGTTTGATGCAACTGATGAGAATGTGAAGGAGATGAGAAACGACTTGTCTGGTATTGGCAAAAAGTTGATGCCCATGCAGTGTCAATAGAGCATCTAGAGCAGTAGATGACTCAGTTGTCTACTACAGTGAACCCACGTCAACCTGACACCCTTCCTAGCAACACCATCCAAAATCTAAAGAATGATGGTAATTGTATGGCAGTTACTACTCGAGGGGGTAAGCAAACCATTGATTCACCTATGTCGTCTGTGGTGGATGTTGATATTAGAAAATAAGATGATGTGGTAGAGGTTAGAGAAGAGTCTGAGAATGTGACAAAGAAAGAAGTAGATATATCTCAGAAAGTGGTCCCCATACGTAGACCTCCACCACTTTTTCCACAGAGGTTAGTGAAGAAGATTGAAGATGGTAAATATCACAGGTTTATTACTATGTTGAAGCAGTTTTCCATCAACGTTCCTTTGATAGAAGCTTTGGAGCAAATGCCTGGGTATGCGAAGTTTATGAAAGATCCGGTGACAAAGAAAAGGTCTGTGAGTTTTGAAGATGATGATAGACTGCAACATTGTAGCGCTATTGCTATAAGGTCTCTTGTGCAGAAAAAAAAAGACCCTGGTGCTTTCACGATCCCATGTACTATAGGGTTGTTACACTTTGCTAAGGCATTGTGTGGTCTTGGTGCTAGCATCAACCTCATGCCATTGTCTATTTATAAGAAGTTGGGTATATGGGATCCAAAGCCTACTACGATGCGGTTACTTATGGCCAATTGAACCTTGAAAAGGCCCATTGGTGTACTCCGTGATGTGCTAGTGAAAGTGGAGTCGTTAATCTTTCCGGCGGATTTTATGACTCTTGACAGTGAGATTCATTTTGAGCTTCCCATCATCCTTGGCAGACTATTTTTTGCCACAGGGCATGCATTGGTTGATATGGAGAATGGGCAGATGAAGTTCAGACTGAACAATGAAGAAGCAA